AGACATTTTCTTTGCTCTTTCATCAACTGCTGCAGTGAAGTCCGTTCACAGCATTGATTTCTGTCAAATATTTCGTTACTAGCCGGTTATCTGACAGCAAATTTCAACAAGAGGCACAGGAAAGGAGACTGGTGACCACACAATCCTGCAGCAAAGGTAACTGCTTCAAGAAAAAATCTTACAATCCTGAAATTTCAGGCCAGTGGGATAGAGTGAATATCCTGATATTTCAATTCAAAAGCTTACCTTAATGATTAATTTTTGGGTGGAAATTTTCAGATGACAACGGGTACTTGTAACGAACATTTTCATCAGTAAATAGAAGACTGATTTTTTGCCAGATATCTTCTCTGTCTCAGTGATGTCCTACAAAATAAAAAAAAAAAAAAATAAAATTCCTCTGCTACAGCAACACTGTACACTGTATGTTGCACTGAGACTAGTATGTAAAGTAAGTATGTTATTTTCTAGACCTGCCCAAAAATCCCAAGGCCAGAAACGAATGGGATAATTTACACTAGTCTGCATTCAGTGAGACAGCATCATTGTACTCAATTGTAAAATGCTTTCCTGGAAAGTGGAAGAAGACAGTTTTAACAGAAACTCCAACCGCTACAGGGACCCAAGACAAAGCCACTTCTCTCGTCAATCATATTTTACTCCCCAGTCATTCCACGTCTATCCCTCTTACCACACTCCATGGGTGTCTCTGCTTCTCCTCAAAGCCAGGTCCACTCCTTTCTGAACCTGACATGACAAGCAAACTCTTGACTGAGTTCTTATTTTAAAAGCCTGCAGTAAAAAAGAAAGCTGGGGCCCTGATGGTTTCTACTAATTATGGAGAACATCAAAAAATGTTGGACTCTTCCTTGGGAAGGAACGGGACGGCTCCCATCAGTGGCTCACTTCCCTGGTCTGCAACCTCAGACTTCCAGACAAGGGGTAACCAGCACATTCTCGCTTGTGCTCCTTTCCAGAGACACAAAGAGCTACAGGAACCTTCTCCTCTGCTCATCAGAGAGGCAAAGACTGTTGTCCTCGTAAAAAACCTTTCAGCTGAGAAGGGATTTTCACTACTGCTAAGACTGTAATTCCTGTTGGTTTGACAAAACTGTCACTTCCTGAAATGACTGGACGAATTTAAAACTAGGCAATAGCAGATGGAAAGATTTGAGGACAAGAGGCCAAGGTAACAAACTTGCATCAGCCTCTTACCTGTACTCTGAACCAGGCGAATTTGTTGGCAGGAAGTTCCAAAGCCACTTTCAGGATATGGTGCTGCAGAAGAGGAGGGACCTCCTTCCGCAAGCCCTTTTCAGTGACTATACCTGAGGCGTGAAAGCAAGGAACCAACTTCAGTTCGGTCCATCTCCCAGAGAACGGCAGAACACTCATGTTTTAGGGTTTAAAACACAACTGTGAGACAAGCTGGCAATTCACAGATCTTCATACCACGGGATCCCCAGACACACTGAGACTAAGGCTGGCCAACCCAGGGTGGGAATCCAGCCCTCAGGACCCGTGGATGGATCTCATCAGATCCCATGGACTTGAGTGTGTTCAGGTTCCTCAGATGGGCTTGAACCTGATCCTGACAGTGGCCTCAGGATCTTCACTCTCCCAGTCCTGGTGTTTGCCTTTCCCAACCTGGGAGGTTTGGCTGGAGAACTTGCCATTGAAGGCTGAGCCACAGAAGTCACTGAGAACCTCAGCCCTCTTCACTTCCAGGGTAAGTCAGGTTTCCCATTTCCTTCTGGAGAGGGTCCAAATGATCCCTGGGCTTTCTTTTGTTGACATTATACCTATGGAAGCCCTTCCCATTGTCTTTTGACATCCCTGGCCAGACTCAGTTCTAACTGAGCCTTAGCTTTCCAAACCCTACCTATCCCTAGCTTCCCATACCATTTCCCTGTATCCCCCCCAGATGACCTGTCCTTGCTTCTACCACCTGAAAGTTTTGGGGTTTTTTTACTGTGATTTTGCTCCTCAGCTCCTAATCCATCCATGGAAGCCTCCTGGCATTTTTTCCCCCTGACTTCTTCCTCTTCAGAACTCACAACTTGGAGGAGGTGGTCCTTGGGTATCAGCCAGCACTCTAAAGCCTCTCTGCCTTCCAGGGCTCTGTCCTATTGGACTCTACCAAGGCCAAATCTCCATCACAACATTTTTCAGAGGACACTGGCAGACTGGGAGGTGCTGTTCTTCACCCCCACCCCGAACTTTCTGTGAGCTATTCTGTTCAAAAAACCCTTTATGGTCGCAGATATTAAGAGTTTGGAAATAACTTAGTGACAGTGGGTTGTTGACAGAGGACTAGAAGAAACCTCAGTAAGAGCTGAAGGTGAGTGCTCCTCAGAAAGATTAGAATTCAAAGCCCATGAAAACCAAACACATCCAAGATTATGACAGAGAGAGAAGAAGACGGAAGTGAAACGTAGTGCTGACAGCTGGGTTTGGCAGAGCAGCGATGGAATTTAACAGGGCCAGAGCACCACAGAAACAGCAATAAATGCCAACAGAATGAAGAAACCAAAATGGGCTACTTTTAGAAAGCAGTTCTTTATCTCCACAGAAAACGAAACATTCCCTCTGCTTTGGACAGTCAGAGAAAACAGTGGAGGAAATAAAAATACCCATCACATACCTTTTAGCAGCCTGCTAAAATCAAAGCTGCTCCGTGCTACCAAGTGGGGCACAACCTTCTGATAAAGACATATGACCTGAAGCAGTGCAGCTTTCAGAAGCAGCATCTCAGCATCATCTGAACCTAAACAATTGTTTCCACAATTAGTTTCTTCTTCCTTCACAGCAAGAGTGCACAGTGTCGCACCCCCATTACCCAGCATGAGAATTACTATCTGCATTTCCAGCAGACTTGCCTAGAAAATGACCTGCTATCTTCCCAACAAGAACGAGAAAAACACCCACTGAATCTCCAGCTCCCTCTCCCAGCATTCCTGTATGAATACTTTCCAAACTAAATCCACTTATCCGGTGCTTAGAGTGAGAGCTGCCATTTCTACTTTGACTCAGAAGTGCTCACACATCCAGAACACAACCTGAACATCTGAACACTCACTGTAAGAATCGCACCAGACCCGCCGCTGTTGAATTTCAGGCTGAATGACAGGAAAAAGCGAAGGATGCTGCTGATCTCCGGGGACACTGCTTTTAGCTAATGTCAGGCAGGTTTAGCTGGGGAATTGCAGGAGACAAGTGCAGTACAGTTTGCTGCCAGTTTATTATTTCAGTTAATGCCTTCTTTCTTTCCCTTTCCCCTTTCAAAATAATACTTTCTCGGTGTGAGCTCTTGGCGAGAGCCAGACAACAAATACCTGTACAAACACCTAGAGCAGTTAAGGCAACTGTTTACTTCCCAGGAAAAACCATCTCAGGTTTCAGCTGTAACATGAAGAGGCATAAAAGCTACTCGTTATCCAGTCACAAATGAACGGTGGGCCAAAACATTTAACACCTAACTTTTTCCTGTTAACTTGGTCTCCCTTAGGGAGTTAGGAAGAACTGGATGAATGCCACGGATAAACTTCGTTTGTCTGAGTCTCAGCTGCCATTAAGAAAAATGAAAGAATTCTTTAGTGGCCACAATGCAAATAAAGCTGTAAAAGGTGAACTGGGACTAAGTGACATAGCATTACCACCTCAGAATGCTGAGGAACTACAGCTACAGTCCTACAGAAATTAGCAGCTCCACTGTTTTCCAAGCCTTGGACTGTCAGTGCTGACAACATTTTGCTGCCCAAAGGGAGGCACAGAGGGACACACACTGAAAAACCTTTTGCTCCAGGAAGTCTCTCCATGGAATATGCCTTCTGAAGGGCACAACGGGTTGCAGGTTTATCTCTAGCCTACAAGGAAACCTCCACAGGCCATTGGCCAGGATGCAGACCACCCTGAAACTTCCTGTTCCCTGCAATGGGACTGTGGAAGCAAGCCCTTCAGGAGGGATGCTGGGTTTGAGAGAAGAAAATTGAAGCCTTCACTCCTTCCCTCTCTCCCTCGTCCAACACACAAAACTGCATTACTGTGTTACATCAATAGAAGCATTTGTGTAGCCACAGTGACCAACTGCTCAAAAAAAATTACCTCCTGGTAAAATAACTTGGACAAACAAAAATATATTAAAAAAATTGCTTTTCAGGCATATCAGTCTCCCTGACAGTTTTAGTTGGTGGCTGCAAAACAACTACTAGCATGGAAAGGTCAAGGGCATGAAGGCTGAGTTCAACAAGAGGAACGGCAGAGCCCTGCACCTGAGAAGGAACAGCCCCATTCACCAATACATTCTGGGGGCCACCCAAGTGGAGAGCAGGTTGCCAGGGATTGATCTGAAGGCCCTGGAGTTCCGGTGTCAGGGAATTGCTCTTCTCCTGCTCTCAGCACTGGGGAGGCCCAATGGGGAATGCTGTGTTCAGGTCTGGACTCCCCAGAACACGGAGACGCTGGAGAGAGTCCCGCAAAGGCTCACAAAAATGGTCAAGGGACTGGAACACCTCCCCTGTGAGGAATGGCTGTGAGAGCTGGGACTGCTCAGACTGAAGAGAAGGCTCAGGGGCATCGTATCAATGCCTATGAACACCTGAAGTGAGAGTGAGAAGATGACCAGGCCAGGCTCCTTCCAGAAGCATTGGTGGCAGGAGCAGAGGCACTGGCACAAAGTGAAACGTGGGAACACTGAGTACCAGGAAATACTTCTTGACTATGAGGGTGATTGAGCACCCACACAGGTTCCCAAAGAGATTCTGGAGACTCCATTCTTGGAGATGTTCAAAAGCTGTGAGAACACACACCTGGGTAACCAGGTTTAGGCAGAGACAGCAGGCAAGATGATTTATAGAGATCCGTTCCAACCCCAACCATTCTGATCCTGGGGCAGAAAAGTCAAACTGCTGAACCTCGGAGCAGCAGTGGCAGCCTATGCATTCAACTGCATTCTCAGGCAATTCTAACAAAGAAAAGGTGAGTAGTAAATATACAAGTGAGATCTGGATTCTGCTGAAGTTAAGGGTGGGATGAGGGTTTCACAACACCCATTCCCACAGAGATAAGAAGCTGTAACTCCACCTGCTTTGCCTACCATGCTGCTCAGCAACTTCTGTCTCGGTCATTGCCTTCACAGTGGAGACGTCACCTTCCTTCTGCTCTGCTGGGCCATCAGTGCGCTCTCTCTTTTGCTTCAGAAGGGACTGCCAGACAGCCACTAGATTATTCATGTCCGGTAAAACCTAAAAGCAAAAAGGCTAAAATTGCAACAGCTCTCCTTTGTAAAAAGGACAAAGCTCCTGTGATAAATACGTCCCCAAACACCCGACAGGAAGATTTGCTGTTCTTCACAAAGGTTGGAATTGACCTCGTGTGCAATCAGGGAATGACCTGAAATCAAGCACTGTTATTTCCACTTCTGCAGAACTTAAGTACAGGAAAGACCATTTTACTGAAAAGGTTTCCTGTGAAAAAATTTGTTTGATTGTTCTTCCTCATGGTATACTTTCAACTCAAGTGCTCTCTTGTCTAACTTCTGAGTAACCTCTGCTGGCTGCATTGACTTGAACCAGGATGAGAACTTGCCTCCTGCTCTTGGAAGTCATTTGCAGCACAACAGCCATTAATGGTACAAATCTGTCTCACCGCAGAATTTAATTTGCATTCCCATCAGACAGACATGCCAGTAAACGTAGGCTCCTACCTCACCATTTAACCCACAGCCTCCCCAGGATACCATCTCCTGCCTCCTAGGCCGGAGCCACTTGAGGAGAAAGTACAGAGGAGAGCAGTTGTCTGCTGCCTGCAAAATGCCTCCTTGTCAGCCCCCAATTGTCTCTTTGTTTCTACCTTGCTGACAGCTTCTCTGTACAGCTGCACAAACTCCTGCACTGCTGGCAGCGTGTAGATTTGTGACCTTGGCCAGGTTGCTTCAGACAAACAGTGCTCAATGGTCCTCAGGGCTCTTCTCAGCACCATGGAGACGAGTGACAGGATGCTGTGCTTCACCACTGTGCTGGGCAACTGAAAGAAGGAAGTGAATTAATGACATTTCAGTGATTCCTGTTATGTTCTGCACAGATTCTGTACTCTCCAGGTGTGTTAAAACTGGTCAATGGATTCATTATTTTCTAGATCTTGGCTAGCAGTAAAGAAGCCATAGGTTTTCAGACTCCCAGCCTAAACCACTAGTGGACAGTGGCAGACCTGGTGCTCGTGAAAGGCACCTGGAATCATTCATTTTCCAGCGCTTCCCCAAGCCAGATTTATGTTGGGGCAGACAATTAAAAACACAAGTAACTAGCCAACTTAAGAAATTTCTTGAATGATCACACACTAAAAATCAAACTACTAACTGGGACAGAAAAGTCACTGAAATATTACAGACTGCTCTTACATTTAACCCTTTGCTGAGCATTGTTTTATTGCACACTGCAGGGACTGTTGTTACCATCACCATAGACAGCAATCTGGGAAGAGGAATAAATTCTGAAGTCTTAAAAGAATTGGAGATGTCTGGTTGAGCCTCATAGATCTGAAAGAAAAGAAACAAAAATATAAGCTCCCTTGGTACAGTCCCAGAGATGACAGCTTCTTCTGGGGAGCATTCTACAGAAGGATTTGGATTTGGACATCACTGACGTGATGTTTTCCACTGTTTCTTCCACCAAGTCCTTATTTCTCAGTTTAGTTTAAATGTTCATAGAGCCTCCTGCTCTGAGCATGGCTTTTTACCATTGTCCATACTCTTACCTTCTTGAGCAATCTCATGTTGTCCAACCAAGCAGATGTCACTCTAGGAACAAAGGAATAATGGGTCTCCTTGAAGTATCTATTCAATAAATCCGGGCACACTTTGAGAATATTCACCAGGAGATCAGCAACCATTTCGTCTTCTGTTGCCGTTCTTAAACCAAGCAGGAAGTGCAGAAGTACCACATTTCCTCCCCTGTTGAAGAGAAAAAAAATATTTTACATTAAAAATCCTTATTTTCATACTTTATAAAGGATGTGAACTCTGCAGATTCTCTAGCTGTTAATTGAAGGCAACACCTCTCACCCTCCTGGCATAATTGTGAGTTTATACTCAGAAGTAAGAAATTAATTTACCTCCACGTTTTCTGCATGACAAACAGTGAATTAGTACCACACATTTCAGGGCAGACACAGTAACTAGTGAGGGCTCTTTTGCTTCTAGAAAAAAACCCACACACAGTCCCAGCTGCCCAGTGACTTACTTTCCAGAAGTTCCAAGACTTGGATCATAGAACGTTATGCCATGCTTCAGAGAGCAGCAGAGGTCCATTAAGAAACTATGCACAAGTTCTCGTACCATGGCTTTTCCCACCTCCTCAGAACCTTGAGCCACCTATAAAAACCAATAAGGAGTAAAAAAAGGCATATGAGACTTTGTATCACAGATATCAACTTCACTTAACATTTTATATGGCTCCTCTTGGAGAAATACTAAAAGAAAGTTTGGCTTTTGTTCAGATTGAGAAGAAAGCTTCAGGGCTTGAAGGTCCCTTCCAACCCAAACCATTCTGTGATTCTACGGTTCCATTAACCTTCTAAATCTGGAACAACTCAAGATGCCTATGGCTGAGAAGACTCCAGACAGCTGTGGCCGGGAAATCATGAATCTCATGACTTAGAGGGACTGCAAGGAACTGTAAGAACTTAAAATTATTCAGAACTGAAACACATGCTTAAGAATAGGGTCGGAGATTTGCACAGCTCTAAGCAGACGCCTGCTAGAAACAGATCTCCTCCAAAGTGTGTTTACAGTATATCAGGATGGGAGGGGCAGGGTCGTAAGCATCTGGTAGAGGAATACAAGAGGGTAGACACAAAGGGGAAAAGTCTGTAGCCAAAACCCAGTGAGAAGCAGTAGAAATCTGGGGGTTCATTTTAAATAGGCTCAGTAGATTCCTGTTTCTGAGCTCATCAAGCTCAGAGCAATTGGGAGCTGTTTCGAAAGCTGTGGACTGCAAGAGGAGGGGAAAAAAAAGGCACCACAAGAAGGACTAAGCTAAGGAAGAAATGACCAGACCTTTAAATCCTCAGGGCTGACATCAGTAATCCCATTCCAACGGTACAGTGAAGCGATGTGAAGCAACACTTCTGCAGTGAAAAAGCGCACCTTCTGCGTTTTGCTGATATTTTTGTTATGAACCACCTGAAAAGGAGAAAAAAGCAAATCCTTCTATTCATTCCAAGTTATCGCAGAATCATGGCAAAAGAGCAACACACTTCATTCTTCTAGTACACACAGAGCTGGGTCTCCTCACCAGGGCACAAGAAAGGTTCTGCCTGTCCTGTCAACACTCCTCTCACCTGCTCCTGCTCCACCTTGGCCCTACACCAATCTCTGCAAACCCTGCACATGCTGGACAGGACAGATGTTCACGTCCACCTGAAGAGCTGCATCATGTTCAGAGCATCACGGCCACAGACTGGAACCATGGGAACCTGGCCGTAGACAGGGTAAGGCCTGTTACCAATGAAGTTCGAATGAAAGGGAATACACAGCGGAGGAAGTTTCTCAGGAAGTTCTTCTGCCGTGTTTTACTGCTGGCATTGTTTTGATTCTCATTTTTCTTGCTAAGCTGAAAGAGTCATACAGTGTGCTGGGGTCCACCAACAACCTAACAGCTCATGATGTATGATACTTTTCAAATGAAGCTTTTCCTGTGTGGTTAAGTTTCAAGGAGGTTTCTTTTACACGTAAATGGTAGCTTCTTTATTCTCCTTCTTTGTGTCACCGCAACAGCAAAAGGAAGAACATTTTTGGCTTTAATTGGTCAGCAGTGAAAAGCCCGAGTCTGAGGCAGGCTCTTATGGCTACGCTCTAAATCTGAAACTGTTTTTTCTTCACTCTCTCAACCATTCATCCAACAGCTTATGCAACATAGCTACAGTAGTTCAGAACAGATACCAGAAAATGATAGATACTGGAGTGAAAAACATTTTTAAAGAAATAAAAGACATCTCAGGTGCAGCTGCTCTACAAGTAACAAGTGCATCCCAGGGAAGAGGCAGGGCTCAGAAGGTGACAGAGCACAGGAAAGGCAGCCAACTCTCACAGCTTGCAGCAATTCCTGCCTCCCTGCTTTCAATCCTGAGGCAGTAATGCAGCCAAGCTACCAAACCTCCAACACACATTATCACTCACAGACGCTGCAGCAGCACGCTGCCAGCAGCCCGAAGAACTGAACACTGTGTGAGAAATCACTGCACAACTGGTTTGCAGCAGTGAGGAAAACAGAAAACACGAGACAACACAGTTTCAAGGGTGTATCATACCTTGGTTCTCAGTGTGGAAAGTAGAAGATTGACAGTAGAAACTCTGTCTTCCTTTATTTCAGAGCGAAGAATATCTGGAATGAAATCTAAGAGGACATTTCAAATTTAAGTCAAAATGTGAAAGCTCTTTGCATACAAAAAAGCTTCGGGGAAGTCATACCCATTCCTCTTCCACATCACATGATTTATCTTGCTGTTATATTCCAGGATGAACCAAAAGGCAGCAGAGTTCAGAAGGATGATGTGCCCATGACTAAGGTGATGAGCAAGTGATGCTGCCAAGCCTACTCTGATCTTGACTGGCTAATTTCTGCTGATTTACACTGCTACAGCATCTGTCACCTTTAAATGCACTTTGGGCCCTGAAATGCCATACTAAAATTCAAGTAAATTCACATTTGTCCCATTGAAGCACTTGTATTTGTTTCACTGAGTGATTCTCAAATGTTTGGAGATTCCATCTCCAACCACATGCATCATCTTTCGGCTCACCTGGAAGAACCTGGGGTTCTTACAGGGAAATGAAAGCCAGCTGCACTGACTGGGCTGAGGTGTGCAATCCCCAGCCTGAAAGAAGTAAACAACTGCCAGCACCTAAAGGAAATCAGCAGCCCTGGGGTAGCAGGAGCAAGAGAAGGAAATAATTACAGCCAGTTCTCAGTTCCCCTCCAAAGGAGAAATGACCTGCTGCCAGTTAATGGCTTAAGGACTTTTTCTTAAACAGCATTTCTAGATCTCTTCTGAATTCTCTCATAACTTTACCAAGAGTCACCATTCACAGGGCAGAAAGGCAACTGAAGTACAGCCTTTTCAAAAGAAAATTAACACAGCATATCCACTGTTAGTGTCTTATGAGCAAGGCTGGAGGCCGATATTTTTTTTTTTTTACATTCATTGACTCCGTGACCTCAAAGTTTTATATTAGATTTACTTTTTTTGATTTCTGTCACCAAAGACTTTCTATTTTTGCAAAGTTTTAGCAGATAGCATATCGTTCTCAAAAAGAAGAGGCTTATTTACTACACTACCAAAGAAGTTCAAAGCTTTGCAGGTAATAAGATGAACTACTAGCACTACTAGTGCTCTCTACATGATTCACATTTTTAATTAGGTCATATTTATTATCACCTATAAATGTCTGTGCCTTAAAAACAAAAACTCAACAAGCAATTATGAAGTACCTTTCAATTCCAGCACCTGTGCCAAGAGTGCATTGTCACCAGCAATGAGAAAGGAGAGGGCAAACTGAATATAGGCCATGCGGACATCTGTTCTTCCCTGGAAACAAAAAGGTAAAAACAAAACAAAAAAATGTTGTTAGCACATAGATTGTACCCAATTGCAGAACTGACGCTGCAACTGCTGATTCCCCCTAGAAGTGCCATAAATGAAACAACTCCTATAAACACGTTGCATGTGGCCGTAGACATACAATACATACCGGATATTCAGCTAATAAACTTCTTGCATTAAGCAGATCACTTCTACATCAAAAGGAAAAGGTACTAGTTGACGTGCTTTTCAATTGTCAATATATGGGACCAGGCCACAGATTTCAAGAAAAAGGAACCATTAACAGTAAGAGCAGTCTCATGCCAAACCCTGCATCACTGAACTTCCTCACTTGTGCACTGCTTGGTCAGTTCACAAAACTGCCATAAAAGGAGGCGAGTGTAAAACTACCAACTCAGGCACAGTGGAAGCAGCAAAAGCCTGACCTGTAACAGCACCATAGCACACGAACTGTCAATCGCAGAATGGTTTTAGCTGGAATGGATCTTAAGGACAACCTCATTCCACCCCCTGCCATGGGCAGAGACACCTTCAACTCACCCAGGCTGCTCCAAGCCCTGTCCAACCTTGGACACTTCCGGGGATGGGGCAGCGCCAGCTGCTCTGGGCACCCTGTTCTGGACAGTGCCTCATCACCCTCGTGGCCAAGGATCTCCTCCCAGTATCTAATGTAAATATATCCTCTCTCAAATAAAAAGTCACCCCTCGTCCTATCACTACGTTCCCTGACAGAGTCTTGCCGTGATTTGCTTTTTTTTTAAACCTGATGTGCAAAATTAAGCTGCATGTAAAGAAGCCTGAAAGGAGATTCCGAGTAGGCAAAAGATAAGGTGGCGGGGACTCATGAAAGGGTTGAAAGAAGAAACAAAGAGAAACTAACAGGGTTTTGGTGTAAGGTTTGGTCCTGGTATTTTTGTGTTAAAATTCCACCTCTGATAGCCAATTGTGACATAACTTCACTGAAAGCTGTACGAGAGTAAGACCTTTTGGATGCTTGCTTCTTTGTACCTTACTCACGTATTTAAGCAGCCTGTGCTCAGAAGACTACACCCAGGCTTTTAAAACCAAGGGTGGAGGTACTCCTGCAGACAACTCCTGCAGTGAGGTCAAAACCTCTGGAATCTGACAATTCCGGAACTCTAAAGGGTAGTTGCAGGAAAAAAGAGATGTGTTTGGTTTTTTGCCTTCCACTTGATTGCTCTTTAAAGAAAAAGTCTGAATTTTCATCTCAAATGGCACAACTCCAAAACAAACGTACACACTCAATCTGCAAGTCATCCTTAAAATCCAGAAACTGCAGTGTCAACATTGCAAACAATACTGGATTTATCACACACTTGCATTTGGAATAATACATAAATGTTCTTGTTCTAAAGCACTGGTTTGGGTCAATCCTGAATATTTGTAGCAAACAGTTTCCTATCACTTTCTCTCTGTTTCAGACACTAGAAGAGCAGTTCACTGGAACTGTACATCTCTATTTCTCCACAGCTTGCTGGAAACACATGAGGCATTTTCCTGTGTCCAGTTAGGCACAACCAAGGACTTCAGCCTGACAAAGGACGGGAAGGGAGAGTTAAGCTCTTGCAAATGAAAATACAGAAAACACTGGCAACAACTTTGTTCTAAACAGTTAGCTAAAATAGCTGGTGGAGCCATGGCATAGCATCTCACGGCACGCAGCGCCTTGACTTACCTTCTTAAATCCTTTCTTCAACAATCCAGGCAGGTATTTGTTATTGAAATCAAAATGACTATACACATCCCTTGCTGAATCTGGGCCCTGAGCGACCATCGCTGACAAGAGTGTAAGGCACCCTCGGCTCATCCTAAAAAGACAAAGCAGAGGGAAACCTGCAGGTTATTTCCAGGATGATGCTTATACAAACCACCAAACCAAGAGATTAAAACTTAAAGAGAAAACAGAAGGAAAGTTAAACGATCCAAGTAATTATTTTAGGCAGTAGCAACAGCAGCTGGAAAAGAGGGGTGAGGGAAGAAGGGAGAAGGAAATGCCTTTTTATCTTGTTCTCCAAAACTGAGCTGAAATGTGAGGCTGGATATTCCCTTTATAAAAGGGGTTTAAAAGGCAGAAAGTGCCAAAATTAACAAGAACCATGGCAGTAGGGTTGGACTAGACAACCCCTAGTTACTCTCTGATTCTCTGAACTCCTAAATTCATAGAGGTTTGCCATTTATTTCAATGGGAATGTGTCGGGGCCACCGTGCACAGGACGTCCAGCATCTGAACAGCCACTGCCATGAAGAGATTTGTAATCTGTCCATCCTGCTTCTGTCATGGACAATCTGTAAAAAGCCATGTGACTCAAGCAGAGATCCCATCTCGACATACAGTGAAGAAAACCCTTCTGCACATCAAAGAGGCTGCACAGAAAATACAGAGCATCTCCCAGGAGAAATCTGCAGCCTCTTCTGTGCAGGTTCTAGAAGGATTTATCCAGAACCTGCAATCTTTAAACACTTAATCAGAAGTGCAGGTCTTGCACAGCTTCAAAACTTATTTCCAGTGTACCTATTTGAGATTCTCTGTCCAGTTAGAATGCTTGCTGCAATAGGATCAACTGCACAGTGCAGGAAGCACAGTTGTGGAAAAGCAGAGAAAGCTTTTCCAATTCTGCTCAAAGACTGAAAAAGATGAGTCATTTGCCTTGGACAAGCCAATTTCACTCTGCTTTCCTCTTCCTCCCAGGTTGGTACTGAAATGTCTCTGGCATTTGCAACTTCTTTCACCTATCCACATGAGCAAGAGAAACTTGTTGGGTCTGGACTAGGTAACACAGTTATCTAACACCCTAAAATGACCTCAGATACGAGTGACTGGAAAAATTACAGAAGAAAGGCCAGTCTGAAAGAGAAAAATGCATTATAAACATGGAAATCTGACTCCAAAAAATACAGGGAAATAAAGCACTCAAGAGCAGCTCTTGTCACCATCACAGGAAGACTGCCCAGCCCTGTTCCACACAGTACATTTCACCCCAAAAATCAAGTAGCATTAAAATAACAGGACTCAAGGTACCACCCATGCTAGCTCTCACTAAGACAGGTCCAACTGATGAAAACCACAGCTTCAGGAAAGTATCCTACAGCACTGGATTGTCTGATGTATCAGAGCTTCCACTTTCCAAAGACTGCCACAGGCAATTATTTTATGACAAGTGGAAAAGGATTATTAAATAAAAGGAGATTATTAGCAATAAGTCAAGATGAATTTTGCGATGTCCAGTCCCTCCAGACCAATTGGCAGAGATCCTCCACCAGAGCACCAAGAAGACTTACTTGCAATTTTCAGAATACAAAGCAGCATAGATCAGTTTCACATAGGAATGAATCAACTTTTTGACAATGTTCATTCCCACAACAGAAAAATGTGAGAGGTCGCTGGCTGTCCTCAGTAAAATGGCTTCCAGAGCTTGAAAGATTAACAGCATCTGCAGGACAGAAAAGTAAGTTAATATCTGACTTGAAATTATTACCTGAGCAAACAGTAACAATGGCCATTAATAAAAAGAATAACCCCCCTCCAAGAGGAAAGCTTCCACATATGAAAGTGACATTAACTTCTAGATTCTCTCCCAAATTAATGCTTCCTCTTGGAAAAGATCACTTCTGAGAGCATGTAGTTTCAAGAAACCAATGCTTCAAGTGATGGTTGCTCCCAAGTGGAGGAAAAAAATGAAATATGCTGGAAAAAAAATTGGGGCTGTTCCAGTCTCGTAATTAATTCCTTCCAGAAGAATCCAGAAACTGTACAGCACTGGGGCTGTGCCCATTACAAACATCAGCCCCTGTCAGCAATAGGATATTGAGCAAAGGCTGTCACTGAACGTGACACAGGTTGTCATGACACAGACAAAAACGATACTGAAAAGCAAAGAACAGCGAGTGATGGTTAAAAAGACATGCAATGCCATACTACATTGCAAGCAGTTAGCAATGCTGCACCAGCATTCACAGTGAAAAGCTGTTGAACTCTTTGTTCATTCATCATATTCTGATGAGGACTAATCGTGCCCAGCTGAAATGAGAAAAATGAGGTCAACTTTACCAATGGCATCTGAGGAATACTGATGTATAAGAGAGGTATCTAAAAACATTTACTTTCACTAGCTTACTTTAGTTTTGCTTTTTTAACTGCTTCTATTGATCTCCTTACTACCTAAAAGGTATTTTGATAACATTTAAAGAACCCTAACAGCCTGATTTACACAGGACTATTGGTTGTGTGTGTCACTAAAGCCAGTAACACCCACAAACAGAAAAGAGCATCTGGCACTTGGTAGGTGCTTCTGCCACAGCTGCTTCCAGGAAAAAACAAACAAACAAACAAACGAAAACCAAAACCATATTAAATTATTAAGAGTTATTTACACCACAAAGCATTTATTCACAGAACCACTGAATTTACTCAGCTGAAAGGGACCCACAAAGATCCAGTCCAACACCTGGCCCTGCACAGACACCCCAACAATCCCACCCTGGGCACCCCTGAGGGTATTGTCCAAACGCTCCTGGAGCTCTGGCAGCCTTGGGGGCTGTGCCCATTCCTTGGCGACCTTTTCTTGGTTCTTCTCCAGCGTGAGATTGTTGGGATTGCAGCTGCTAGTCCCTGAATTACAACCCCCATACGCAACTTACTTCACTTTCAGGCTTCCTTTCTCCATCGAGAAGCTTGAATATCTCAGAACATTCCATGGAAATTTTCACGTATCCCTCCACGACATCGTACACGTGGGGCGACGGCAGCGTCTGGGCGACGGACACGAAGTTCTCCAGCCCTGCAAAGCGACAGCGTCACCCGGGGGACGGTTCCGGGCGGGGCCCGGAGTAGCCGGGCTGTGCCCATGTGCGCCATCCCCACCATCATCGCGGCCACTCCTGCAACGTGCCCGGCCCGGCCCCGGCCCGGGGCACCCCCGGCCCCGGCCCACACCCGGCCCCGGCCCCGGGGCACCCCCGGCCCCGGCCCACCCCCGGCCCCGGCCCACACCCGGCCCCGGCCCGGGTCTTTCCCGCCCTTCAGAGCCCCCTCACCCTTGGCGGCGGCCGTGGGATCCCGCAGCAGCGCTTTGAAGCGGGCGCCATTGAACTCCGCGTCCCGCAAGCCACAGACGCGCTTGGCCGCAGGCTCCCCGCTCGGCTCATCGGCCACCCGGCTCCGCTTCCCGGCCATGCTCGATCCCGGCCCCGCCCCGGAACCGCCGCGGCTCCCGCAGGAAGGGGCGGGTGGAGCGGAACCGGCCCCCGGAGCTGTAGCGGGAGAGCTTGGCCAGCCACCGGTGCTCAGGTGGGCAAAAATACTTACCAGTACTTCTCTTGGAATGGCTTGGGAGGGACAGTAACCGTCATCTCTTCTCACCGTCTATTCCCAGGACCTGCAGCCCCCTGCGCTCCTGAACCAGCACGGCTCAAACTTGGAAAGGGAAAACCGCGGAGTGCTGGGAGGCAGGGGGAGGAGAGAACTCCCTCAGGTACTCCTGTCTTCCCGGAAGAGGCATCGGGGTGACCTAACTGTGCCTCTCCAGTAGCTGGAGGGGCCCACGGCAAAGACCGAGAGGGACTCTTTAGCAGGGAAGGAGTGACAGACCAAGGGGGAATGGCTTCCCACTGCCAGGGAGCAGGCTGAGATTAATTGAAATCTAAGCTCTTCCCTTGCTCTCGGCAAGAGTTATTATTCGAGGACAAGCACAGGGATGAGGAATGGAAAAGGCCGTATTCCAATAAACTGTTACATGTGGAATGACAGCAGTTAGTGAAGAATGAAACAGTAGTGGAACAGAAAGGATATTATTTCACTAAAAAAAAAAAATATTTAAAAAAAATAAAGATCTAAATCCAAACCACATTTTTTATCATATGCACAAGTAATAAAAGCAACATTAGTACCTTTTCCAAACTGGGTTGGTTTTGTTTTTTCTTTTATTTAGCAACATATTGTTAAAAAAAAAAAAAAAAAAAAAAAGTGATCCAGAAGAGGGCAGCATTCACAGCCATTCTAAGACAGGATGAACAAATGCTTTCACATTGACAGAGGATGCTGCGATGTTCTGAGAACAGATGGTAGAACAAAATAAAAGAAGGTGATGTTACAAGACAGAAAAGGGTAAAATAAAAGGAGTACCTGAGCCTGGGGGGCGGGGGGGAAGAAAATGGGGAAATATTAATTGCTACACACTAGGTACAAATGCTTTTTACAAGTAATT